ATTCCAATGTCCAATGTCCCCAAACCACATACAAAATTTATAAATCCTCTTTACAATCCCTTTAACGATATATAGTAATTTGATTGGTTAAAAAAAATTGAATTTTAAATCAATTTTAGCTTTTGACTAATGAAATGAATACAATTGGTCCTAATTAAAGCCTCGTGTTTTTTATCACAAATAGTCAACTTGAACAAGATTCTATTTCAAACATTTTCGTTTGCATAAAGGTACAAGACTAGGAAATAAAGATACCTTTTGCACTTTCGACCATTAGTCAATTGTTTGTTCTACTCCTCATGAAAAATTCTAGCCCATAATTTGAACTATCTGTTTTAAGATATATTTAGTCTATTATAAAGATATGTTAAGTCTATATAAAGATATGTTAAGTCTATATAAAGATATGTTAAGTCTATATAAAGATATGTTAAGTCTATATAAAGATATGTTAAGTCTATATTAAGATATATTTAGTCTATTATAAAGATATGTTAAGTCTATTTTAAAGATATGTTAAGTCTATATAAAGATATGTTAAGTCTATATAAAGATATGTTAAGTCTATATAAAGATATGTTAAGTCTATATTAAAGATATGTTAAGTCTATATAAAGATATGTTAAGTCTATATAAAGATATGTTAAGTCTATAAAAAGATATGTTAAGTCTATATAAAGATATGTTAAGTCTATAAAAAGATATGTTAAGTCTATTTTAATGATATGTTAAGTCTATTTTAGAAGATATGTTAAGTCTATATAAAGATATGTTAAGTCTATATAAAGATATGTTAAGTCTATATTAAGATATGTTAAGTCTAATTTAAGATATGTTGAGTCTATATAAAGATATGTTAAGTCTATATAAAGATATGTTAAGTCTATATTAAGATATGTTAAGTCTATATTAAGATATGTTAAGTCTAATTTAAGATATGTTGAGTCTATATAAAGATATGTTAAGTCTATAAAAAGATATGTTAAGTCTATTTTAGAAGATATGTTAAGTCTATTTTAGAAGATATGTTAAGTCTATTATAAAGATATGTTAAGTCTATTATAAAGATATGTTAAGTCTATTATAAAGATATGTTAAGTCTATTTTAATGATATGTTAAGTCTATATTAAAGATATGTTAAGTCTATAAAAAGATATGTTAAGTCTATTTTAGAAGATATGTTAAGTCTATTTTTAAGATAATATGTTAAGTCTATTTTAAGATATGTTAAGTCTATATTAAAGATATCTTAAGTCTATATAAAGATATGTTAAGTCTATTATAAAGATATGATAAGTCTATTTTAAGTTATGTTAAGTCTATTTTTTAAAGATATGTTAAGTTTATTTTAAGTTATGTTAAGTCTATTTTAAAAATATGTTAAGTCTATTTTAAGTTATGTTAAGTCTATTTTTAAGATATGTTAAGTCTATTTTAAGTTATGTTAAGTCTATTTTAAAAATATGTTAAGTCTATTTTAAAAATATGTTAAGTCTATTTTAAGTTTTGTTAAGTCTATTTTTAAGATATGTTAAGTCTATTTTAAGATATGTTAAGCCTATTTTAAAAATATGTTAAGTCTATTTTAAAAATATGTTAAGTCTATTTTAAAGATATGTTAAGTCTATTTTAAGTTATGTTAAGTCTATTTTAAGTTATGTTAAGTCTATTTTAAAAATATGTTAAGTCTATTTTAAAAATATGTTAAGTCTATTTTAAGTTATGTTAAGTCTATTTTTAAGATATGTTAAGTCTATTTTAAGTTATGTTAAGTCTATTTTAAAAATATGTTAAGTCTATTTTAAAAATATGTTAAGTCTATTTTAAAGATATGTTAAGTCTATTTTAAAGATATGTTAAGTCTATTTTAAGATATGTTAAGTCTATTTTAAGTTATGTTAAGTCTATTTTAAAAATATGTTAAGTCTATTTTAAAAATATGTTAAGTCTATTTTAAGTTATATTAAGTCTGTTTAAAGATATTTAAAGTATTTAAATATGAGATAAGTCTGTTTTAAAATTTTAAAGAAATTGTTTTTTTCCTAGTCCAAAAGGCATCTTGTTTGAGCAAGGCCATTGAAATTTTTAGGAATTGTGAACAAATAGATCTTATCATTAGAGGGTATAATTGTACTGTTTTATTTACGGTATAGTTACAAATATAATGCTCACCCCTTCTTATGCAGACTTTACATTATAAATGGTGTTATCACAAATTTTTCTGCTCTACCTTAATTAGGCCCACATGTAAACTTTAGTGGTATTGAAAAGGGAATTTTATGAATTGATCAAGTGAATGAGAAATAACTTTATTAAAACATTCCTGTTATAAAACATATCAACCCGTGCAATATGTATATAATTTATATTGGTGCTTCAATCACTTGTTATAAACTATGCAATCATTATTCACTCAATGTATATAGAACTAGATATTTATTATTTCTGGATATTTTATAACTTTTTAATATGATACTTTATTAGTGTAGTATATACACTTCTCGATTGGAAATATATTTTTGAACACTAGTGTTTGTTAAGAATTGATGAAACACATCTCAATTTGTTTTTTAGATAAAATATGTCAACCTAGTGACTCTTGTTGATTGTTTATAAGACTCTAGTTTGATCCAATCTAATGTTTGACTCTAGTTTGAGAAAGTTATATTGAATGAAAGATAACTTAATGAAATTTCTGTTTAATATTGGAGATATTTCAATGTTTTAATTGAAAATATACCATAAATAGCATCTCTGTATTTTATTTTATTTTGTAGTATGTTTTTAACAAATTAATGGTCTCGTATTAGAAATATGTTTTATAAGATTGTTCTTTTTAAGAGTAGACTATATAGAGTTCATAATATCATTTAGGATGGTCCCCTATTATCCTGAAATACCAAATTGTTCTATTTTTCTGGTCTATTTGCCTGTGATATAATTATAATGTATTTACTGAAGCTCAATTGCTATACGTATACCTGCATGTATTTCTGTACAGTAATCACCTTCACGATGTCAAGCTATTACGAACTTTGTCGTAGACCATAAGCAATAATGTCATGTCAAGGACTTTGATTGGCTGTATTCGCTAGACCGGCATTCCATTGGCTATTACAGTCAAGGTATTAAATGCCGTTCTTTATAGCTTGACATTGTAAAGATGTGTAATACTAAAATCTACAAGTTATTTCTATAAAAGTGTAAAGCTGCTCATTTCATATTGAGTTATGGAGAATATTTGCTGTTGTGCCATTAGATTATTAAGTCACATTCCTGTTAAGTATTATGCTGAAGTGTTGTTATTTTATGTTATTTTATGTTTTGTTCTGTTTATGGTTCAAGGTCTCCAATATTGCTTAATCTTGCTATAGTCCCCCTTTTTGCTCATCCCAATGGTTTTTTTCTAAGTGAAATTTGTTATCATTCCAATTTTTTATTTTGCTTGATTCCTCATTTATGTTCTTATAAGTCTATCCTTGGTGTTCGAATACCTTGGGAAGTAATAAAAAACCCACATCTCGTGACCCAATTGCATAGCAGAAACCAATCCAACTGAACATCCAGTGAAGCTAGTCCATTAAACTAGTGTTCAGTCATGCCCCTTAAGCGCCTTTATCCCATCTGACAAATTGTAATACATTGTTTTAAGGAATATTTCATTCTGTGTGTATTAGTCATCTTGTCCCTCCCAATTAAATTCCCTCCTCTCTGTACCTCATCATCTTTTTCTCTTATCTTACTGCTTGTTTACTTTGTTGCCAAAATATGCTATTTATAAATAAATAAAATCTATTTTGATTGTTTTTATTTTGTATCAATCCATAGGTCATCCCACAATTCTCAGCAGTGTCCATGAAGCTGGCAGGACACCTTGACATTCAACAGTTTTCACATTGCTAAGTTCATCATAACCAATCAATGAGGCACAAAGATCACATATCGAATATTTGTGTGTAAGGGTATCATTTAAAATCTAGGGCCCAGATACAAAGCAATCATGCATACCATTAATGTGATGTTTGAAATAAATCATAACAGATTTGTTAATAAAAAGTTTTTAATAGAATTAATACATGATTTGACCCACTGAACAAGGTTAGTATAAAAATTATCTGCCTGATTGGGGCTGTGTCTTCCCATATCACCCCTTCTCCTCACGCCCCTTTCCACTTCACTCATGGGGTAGCAAAATGATATAAGATTGGATAGACTGGGGGCAAATTAGGAAGGGGCAATGGGAATAAAATAATTTTGCCATCAAATGCAGATGCTTTCTGCAGCACTATGAGAACAAACAAACAAACACTTTGGCTATGGACTTTTGAAATATAATTCCTGTATTTGTAGTCTGTATTTGTAATAATGACATTTAATGTGCCTCATTTAATCTGTTCATGATTCGAAAATATACAGGCTGAAACTATACCTTAGAAATTTGATATTCAAATCTCAAAATTTGACCTATAGTAAACACCACACAAAGAAATTTCAATATGTTTCAATTCTACAGTATTCTTATAAAACAAATCATTATCTTCAAACACTATTAATTTATCATCTGGACATTCTACATCCTATAGTGCTTTACATTATCATCTACAAGTTAATCTTTAATAAGGCAACAATAAATGAAATTTAAGGTTCTCAGTTCTACCTTAAAGGACTAATGACATGAGAAATCAACACATTTTTTAAGTGGTAATAAACTGAAATGTCATGGTCTATTTCTCTGCACTGGGTTATTCTCAAATGAAACTAATCTCATCTTCAATGGCCCAATTTGGAGCGAAACAGTATGATGGAAGTCTCCATTTCATTTCATTTAAAGGTATCTTTTTTAAAGCACTACAGGAAAATTCTTTACAGCAACAAAACTTCTTAAAATTTAGTAGTCTACAGTATAAAACCATCAATGAACACGACCACACCCACTTGAGCAGCATTGGCTCTGATGTTCCAATTTTTCTTGGGCTTCAAGAATTGCCATAGCTTCTTTACCAACTTTGGTTAATTTGCTTAATATCACATAAGTATAACTTTCTTCATATAGTGAGGCTTCTGGCGAGGTCTCATCTACTTGGAAGCTAAAATAAAATAAAGACAAAAATCACTTATGGAATGACCTGAACATTTTTTCAGTTGATTTATAAATAGAGAAAACCTGTGTACACTGTATAAATCCACATAGATATTGTTGGAATTTGGAGTGTATACATTCGAGGGAATTTGGAAAATACCTTTATCATTCAGTGAGGTGTCGATTTCAGCTCTGTTGACGTTCAAAGGAACGACATCGATGCTGTGTAGTGGCCACGTCAATCAAATTCAATGATAAAAGCATTCCGGTAAGTGGTGGAGCTTATATTTTCATTCCGTTTACACAGATATAAACCGAATACAAGTAACTGCTGTTATCCAATCAAATTGCGTGATACTGTGTAAACGTAATCGTGATTTAATATATATATAGTTATCTCCCTTTGTATTGCTTTGCTTTGAATATGAAAGCATATGCAATAGTGACAATTCATTTAAATGGTGGGTGAATTCATTTTTTTAGATCACATTTCTTCAAAATTAAAGAAAGCAATTCCTCATAACAACCACAAAAACTGTACTTGCTTATGTTTATTTCATGCTGAGCCTAAGCCACAGTACATATAACTTACCTCATAATTTTAGTAAAGAAATCAAAGCCATCTTTATTATGTTTAAATGCTGTTAACATCACCTTTAACATTTCAGTTCTATAAAAATACAAAGTATAAACATTCGAACTAGTGTTACAGTGTTTTATTTCAATGAAGTTGAGAACTGAATCTAGGACGATGAAAGCTATTTATTATTCTTACAGGATCGTAGCCAATCAGAGATTAGGCACACTTAAAGCTGAAACTCTTCAAATAAAAGATATCAAAAATTTTTAAGTAAGAATGGTGGTTTACGCAAATAACAGCAGCAGGAAAGTTACCAGTCCAAACAGGGGAGATAAATAATCTATAATCATATTAGACAGGTTTGAAACTGTATCAAATGTGCATCACCATTCCAAAATTAATCGCACTCTAGAGAAAACTCTTCAAATAAATATATTACAAAAATGTACAGTAAGAATGGTGGTTTACACAAATAACAACAGCACGGAAGTTTCAAGCCCAAACAAGGGAGGTAAATGATAAAACCCAGTTTGTACTGTACTGGATTTAGGCTAATAAGAAACAAGTGGGGAAAAGAATAATACCAAGATCACCTCCCTCAATAATGTGTCCTCACAGTACACTGCATGTGTTCTAATTAAGAGTAAAGCACTCTGTTGAAAAGTTGTGAAGTGATGTCTACGTTATTGAAGAAAGATAACTCACTTATTAGCTATTAACTGTAATATCTGCATTAAAAACTTCCCTAATCCTTTATTTCTGTAGTTTTTCTCAAGCTGAATTTCATAACTTAAAATATAGAATAAAAACACATTAATGGGCCAGAACTCACTAATGAATGATGTCACTAATGGTCAATCTTATTCAATTTGTGATGATATTAATCAGGTAAGCGATACATTTATCATAAATATCATCTTAACAAATTTGAAGGTATACTGCCATCTTTGACTTGAGATCCATGGAAAAACAAGTGTTAACTAAGGATGCCGCAAATGGCCGATCTAATTCAACTTATGACGACACAAGTCTGAATGGCGATAAAATATCATGAATATCATTTTAGCTCTCTTGAAGGTATACTGCCAAATTCTTGCCGAGATCCACCCACAGTACAATAAAACCAACACATAATGGCACGAATGTAAAACATAAAAGGAAGTGATACAGAATATCTTCTATCGACTAAAACTTACCAATATAAAACCTCTTCGTCATATTCCATATCAAATCTAAAATGTACGAAACCCACAGGTTTATATCCTTCATCTCTTACGATTAAATACCAGGCATTATCATCCACCATTTCTTCTCTCTTGTCTTTATCTTTCCATCCCCATTCACTGTCCTCATACCTACAAAATTACATATAGAATGACATGGAAATAGGATGACATGGAAATAGGGTGACATGGAAATAGGGTGACATGGAAATAGGATGACATGGAAATAGGATGACATGGAAATAGAATGACATGGAAATAGAATGACATGGAAATAGAATGACATGGAAATAGGATGACATGGAAATAGAATGACATGGAAATAGAATGACATGGAAATAGGATGACATGGAAATAGAATGACATGGAAATAGGATGACATGGAAATAGAATGACATGGAAATAGTATGACGTGGAAATAGGATGACATGGAAATAGAAAGACATGGAAATAGAAAGACATGGAAATAGGATGACATGGAAATAGAATGACATGGAAATAGGGTGACATGGAAATAGATTGACATGGAAATAGGATGACATGGAAATAGAATGACATGGAAATAGAATGACATGGAAATAGAATGACATGGAAATAGGATGACATGGTAATAGATTGACATGGAAATAGGATGAAGGATGACATGGAAATAGGATGACATGGAAATAGAAAGACATGGAAATAGAATGACATGGAAATAGAATGACATGGAAATAGAATGACATGGAAATAGAATGACATGGAAATAGGATGACATGGTAATAGATTGACATGGAAATAGGATGAAGGATGACATGGAAATAGGATGACATGGAAATAGGATGACATGGAAATAGAAAGACATGGAAATAGAAAGACATGGAAATAGAATGACATGGAAATAGGATGACATGGAAAATTTTCAGCATGACAAAAGCAACCTTTTTCATAAATTGTGGTATATAATCAAGGTTGAACCATTAATGAGTCTATCGAGACATTACCAGATATACTATCATGTCCAGTGTCCCACAAGTTAACAAAATACAGGCCAGGGGAATGATTTTCCCCCTATAAAAGAAACATTGTGGTGACGAATGTATGTTCTAAAACAAGGTAAATCTATTTTATACATCAAAATTAAGACACTTGCTTTAATATAAGCCACTGAAATGATTCACATATATACTTACAGAGTTTCCATGTTTGATTTTGTGAGTTGAAAAGCCCAATCTATCACAGATTCATCGAGATCAGTCACTCTGTTACATTCTATACATAGATGTAATCTACAATATAAAATAACTTTGAAGAAATTTTGCTTGGGATTCACAAGTTTTTTTATGACAACTATCTTTAAAATTCAGTTTGAACGCCTTAATTCAAAAGTTATACCTGACAATTCTCTGAAAATTACAGTTTTAAAGATGGTGTTCTTTAATTCAAATATATTTTTGATTATTTCTCTCTTGATTAGCTTATGGATATACAAGAGAGAAGAAATTTCGTAGAAAAATATTACTTACCCATTTCTTTCAAATTTCTTAAACACAGTGAATGAATCCATTGGGTTGTCCAACTAAAATTAAATAAACAATAAATCAAATTGAAACATGGAGAGAGAAACTCATGGACAGTTTTAATATTTTGAAAAAAGCTAACAATAATATGATATGAAAAAGTACAAAACACTGGTAAGCATTTGTCAATGAAATAACTGGCTCCTGTTCAAAGAGTTTCCTTAAATCAGGAGAGCATCAATTCAGAATTTGCATCATTTCAATTTCCAGACATCTGTGGTTCTTACAATTCCACCAAAACTAACTGTTTTATAAAGTTCCTATCGCAAAGGCCTTTGAATATTATAACAGTTTTTATGATATCATTGTCATTTATGGTTAAACATTTCCAAAATTACAAGAATCACAGTCATCTGATGACAAATTTGAATGATGCAAATAAAAGCAGTGAATGATAAAACAGCCTCTGCAACCCCTTTTAAAGATGGTTTTCCTTATTTTTTAGTGTGAAATTAAGCAAACTATTTGATAAATTGGTGTTTCTAATTAATTATCATGTATTCTTAATCATAGCACAGTCTGGATAAACAAAAAAAGAAGACTTTTTGACCTTTCCTGATCGGTCACTCATTGAATTTTTGCCGGTAATTCGCTTCTAATTTAGCTAAATATGAATTAATTATGGACATGTGATTCTTCCAAGTAATTAGAACACCTCTACTTTCTATTCATATAAGTATTAGCATTATCATTTTCATAAATGAAAATAAGGAAACCCATCTTTAAGATTATAATTCGAATACATGAACACCCAAATACTGACCTTATTGGCAGCATCAACTTTAGCTCTACTGGCAGACAATTTGGCATTTTCCTGCAAAACATAAATGATGATGGAATCAGCATTATTGGCATCAAAACAAGAGCACAACTTAAAACTTCGATTCATAGGAGGGAGCATCGGAGAAGAATCGGGTTCCGCCATCTTGGCTAGTAGAAGTGACAACAAGGCCATTAACAAAAAACTACAAGAAAGTAGCCATATAACGAACACAAACGTCTGAGTTTGAGTATTTCCGACTACGCACACAGCTACGAGGGTACCGTCAATATAATTCACAATAAACGCATTTGACAAACCTTAATTAATTAAGATATGAAAATAAAACACTTGTAGCACATGTACTAAACTCGGTGCATGAAGCGGAAAGGACAATAGCTACCCTCAAATTTCAACTTGCAATTGGATACACACAAAAATGATTATCTTCAATAATTCTATATTGGCATCAGAACAAGAGCACAACTTAAAATGATCAAAATCATATCAAAGATTGTACTGCTAAAACAGTATGTCAAACTACCAGTACCAAAAGTAATAATTTTTCTTTGAAGATTTTGGTACCCACCTCTTTTCTTTTTAATTTCTTCTCCTTGCTTTTTTCTTTATTTGTATTTTTCGTTGCCTTCCTCTAAAAATATACATATCTTTTTATTAAGTGACTAACAAGCTAATCTTGAGTGCATTAACATACTATGAATTGTAAGAATTTTTCTAATGTATGTGTATCGGGAGACTGATAGCGATCAATTTACACCATTCCACTTTTCAGTCAGATGTTCATGGTTCTAGTCCAACACTACGCCTAAGCACGTTTGACGACTATTTATAGGCAACTTTCAGAATAGTGATTTCCCCTGCTATTAAGCATCTCCATAAATACAAGAATCACAAACATCTGACTGAAAATTGGAATGATGCAAATATATATTGAAGCCATGTGGCATGCCATAAATGACCCTGATACACCTAAAAAGTTTAGAAAACGTCTCTAAAAAAAACCTCTAAAGAATCTTAGCGCTCAGACAGAACTTACAGAGACAGTTACATTGATAATTTCCTATGACATTCAAATGAAAGCAAAAGTATGATATTGTAACTCGTTTGCGAGGAAGAGGAGGGGGGGGGGGGGGAGTAAACAAATATAGGTTCTAAAAACTTAGCAAAACATCAAATAAAGTCCAAAAATATCAATTTTTGACTTCGCTAGTGTATTCTCTAATATAACTTACACCCATGGTGAAATTTTTAGCTGTCAGAGAGGCTTCGATTGTTTGTAAACAAAGCAGAAAATTTCTTTTTATCTTCCCCGATTTTTTTTACCGCGAGTTTCGATGGGAAGATAACTCGTTACGAAAAGTTAGAAGTCTCGTTCATCCAGTCTTAAATTATTATCATTAAAGGGAAGACAAAGTCTAACAATTTTTCCGCATCTAAAAATTGCCAAAGAAATTATATTTGACTGTAAGAGGGATTTTGAGGCGTAATATATTAGATACTTTCAGAAAACCTCAATCTTTTTCTCAATCTAATTCTGACCCATGTAAAATAAAGAGTTTATATATTATTATTTATTACATGTCTTTGACAGAGTCTCAAGAAAAGACGAATCGTCTTTTTAACTTTTGAACAAGGATAACTCGGACACATATGGATTTGAAGGCTCAACTTTCGATTTTGAGCTGTGAACACTTTTAGCAAAGATAAAAAATCTTGAAGTACGATTGATTAAATGGATGGCTAATCAGTACAAAATTTCTGAATGCGTACCTCTGAAAAAAAGGGTGGGTGGGGGTTCCTAGCTAATTTGAATGGCGTTCATTTTCTATGGTCCAAATATAGATAGACTGTTCACAGATAGTTTAGATAGGCGTTGACAGTAAAGGGCTTTAGGCTATCTGTGAAATTGGAAACCTTCAAAACCTATTTATGCACTTATAGGAATTTAGGAAGTGATGAATATTGTAAAACGAGTAGCCTATTTAAATCGGCTTAAAATATACAATGTTCTAGGCAATTGATATATTATAGAGATCATTAGGTTAAGTGGGCGTGTATAAAATTAAGTATGATTATGCAATAATAATAATCACTATTTTTAATATAGTCCTACTAGTTTATCAGCTGTATGCATTTAAATCAGCCAAGATTAAGGGTGAAGTCCCAGTTTTTTTTATGACAATGCAAAATCAAAACAGGCCACTTGCCTGTACTTCGTTCGTTGTTATCAAAGCCCAAGATGAAGGGCCGTTACAAGGTCTTTTTCCATGAGCCAAAAATCACGTCTTTTACATTTTTTTTTAACAAAAACCATTTTTACAGCTATAGTCAAAATCTTTATCAGCATAAGCCACATTTGCTTTGTTATAGTTACGTCACTGAGATGTCATTATAAGCACTGATCAAACAGGCGTGTAGTACGTCATATACTTTCAATTTTTTTATCAATTAACATAGTGATAGCACAGCCTGTGCCCACCTCCCCCCTCCCCCCTGAAAAATTTTGTGGAACCTTCTCGACCCCCTCAACTAATTTTTCCTAGAAACGCCACGGGCTTCTTATCGTTTATTTTGTATTGGGGGACAGATATTGCCCCTTTATCTGTTATCTTGTCAACTCGTGCTGTATCATACCTTGGTCACGAGGTCAGTTAACTATATATGACAACACAGATCTCATGTCAATACTTACTTTATATTTTCACCAACAAAGGTAAGGATGCTTTTTTTGTGGGGTAACTTCTATGTCAAAAAAAATTGTATCCCTTTTTGCAAAAGGATTTGATATTTGATAATTAAATTCTTTAGCAAAGAAGAGAAAGTTAAATTGTTTTTTCAAGGGCAATAATATTAGTTTTAAGGCGTTAAGTTTCTTTATTAAGAAATAAAGTTTCATTATCAAACTAAAAAAAATGAACTTGATTACAGGCCTTAACCTGATGTGACTCTCTCTTAGCTTCTTCCTTTTCGGACATATTCAGATTTGTACAAAAGAAGCCCACAAAGCTAGCAAACCTTGATTAAATACCACAAAGACCATTATTGCTGATAAGTCATTGCTGTTATTTCAGATGTTGAAACTTGTAGTACTCGCTGTTGTCTGTTGTGTCAGTTTAGCTATTGATACTCAGCTCGACTCGGCATGGAAACAATATAAACAACAACATGGTAAACTGTACAACCCAGTTTCCGACAACATGAGGTAGGTAGTGTTCTTCACTATTGGACAATGTATGCAGTGGCGGAACCACCTCGCAGTCCAGAAAGTTTTTCGGGCAAAAGCTCATAACTGGATTAGAGATTCGGGCAATCTCAGATATCCTACCCCCTCTCGGACGTAAACCTGGCTACGCCACTGAATGTATACCATAGAGAAACCTTTTTGACAGATGTACTCAAGTCGACAAAATAATGTCAAAATCAGAGGAATAGCCAGATATTTCGGTGGTCAAAACGTCACCCAATATTTCGTGAATAGAGAATAGAGCCAGTTATTTCAAACATGCTGAAATTGTATTCCGAGCGAATCAACTCTTATGCCTTTTGTTTTGCAGGAGAATTGTCTGGGAGTCTAACCTGGAACTTATTGCTCAACATAACAAAGAGGCCGACCAGGGCAGACACTCCTACAGACTCGGAATGAATGCTTATGGTGATATGGTAGGTATTTTAGGATTACAATTGATTGTCCCTGATTGGCCAGTCTAGTTTTATTATATTCACCAATCAGAGTATTTGATTTCTACCTTGATGCTTAGTTGTGATTGGTCAGCCTATTTTTAGATAATATGTTCAGCAATGTTGGTTGGTCGGTATAGTTGACAAGTTAACGTCTTTATATATAGCTTGTTCAGATCACATTAACCTACTCGCTGGAATCGAACGTCTCCAACCAACTAATAACCATTCTGATGGTTTCTGTGGATACACTCTATGGACACATCATGTTTATAACGCATCATTAATTCGAACCATTTCACAATGGTAACCAAAAACCCAATGAGAACAGAACTTCCCAAATCACAATTTTTTTAATTTCAATTCCAGACAAATGCTGAATTCAACGCCTTGATGAACGGATACAGAGGTGAAGACTACAAACCATCTGGGTTGAAACATGAAAGCAAAACACCCGTAGAAGCTTTACCCACAGAAGTTGACTGGAGACAGAAAGGATTCGTTACTCCCATCAAGGATCAGGTACGAAGTCGGACTAATATCAATCTAATTAAAATGAAGGGTTACAATACCCTTTTTTTTCTTATAATCTGATACCTCAGATATTTCGCCTCCAAACCCTCAGACGTAAACCTGGCTCCGCCACTGATTCGCACCTCCGAGTTTCCCACTTAACTGAGGAAGAGATCAAGAAGCCATACAATTCCACCCATTAAGGTTTTTTGCTTTATTTTTTGGACACCTAAGCCGATATGGCAACGAATCTACCTCCTAACCATTGAAACTTAGCGACCCTCAACCCTAAAACTAGACGAGTCTGTATGTTTTATTTCAGAAACAATGTGGATCTTGCTGGTCTTTCTCCGCCACTGGTTCATTAGAAGGACAACATTTCAAGAGAACAGGAAAACTCGTCTCCCTCTCAGAACAAAATCTCTGTGACTGCTCTAGAAAGGAAGGTGGGTAACTTTTCATGTTTATTATCGCTTCTTATTCGCAAAGCAAAAACACACCAAAGGCACGCCAAACATCCCCTCTCGATGACCATCTCTGGACTTTATTCTAGAAGGGTGGTTAACTGGACTGCGGCATTGCAATTTTGATGGTGTATATCTTTGGCAGAGCTCATATAAATGGCAGTTTATGAATCCAAGGACTGGCTGAGGGGTCGGACAACCGAGCGCAGTCTTTGGGCCCGAGAAAATATTATTTGCAATGATTATAATTTTGTTCTGATTTGATTGCAAACTATAATTGTCTAAATCTGATGAAAAAGTTTAGTCGGACGAGGGCCGGTCACTGTCATTTGGCGAAGAAGTATTTTCACGATCTGTTGGGCGTATGGTTTGGGACACCAGGATATCCATTGGTGCATAGTCTGCCCCTGCACGAAGCTATAAAGTTGGCTATACCAGCACACATTTAGCTAAATTTTAGCAACCTATTACAGGTAATATGGGATGTGAAGGAGGTTTGATGGATCAGGCTTTTATTTACGTCAAGAAAAATAGAGGTATTGATACCGAAGCTTCATACCCATACAAAGCCATCGTAAGTTCTATAACTCTATTTATCTTCTCACAAACACAGTACCCGAATCCAGTCCCGTACACAACATCATGTGTTAACAATGTAACATAAGAAACTATCGTGTCTATTGTCCAACGCCTAGATCGTATCCACTTAGTTAGCAGAGATTCTTGGTTTCTGTAAATTCTGAAAAAAATGTCATTGTACCAAGCGTTATATGCTTGCTAGTTTAACACATTAGTTTTGCATGGCATTTGGCATTTTTTCCACACCCTTTCGAAACGTCTTAAGTTTGAGTTATTCAGTAGCCTTTGAGATTAGCCCATAAGGCATGCAAACCTTTAACAAATACCACTATAAGAATTTGGTCATCCTTTCGAAACGTCCTCGGCAGTCCTCAATACCTTTGACTGTTTCTTTAAAGACCTGTCGAAATCTTGCTATTCAGATCTCCCTCCAATTCATATAATGACGTTTTAAAATTGTATAACATCTGAATATAATTACTTGGATTACAATAATTTCCCGTTTTTCTTCAGGATGAGAAATGCCACTTCAAGAGAAAAGACGTAGGAGCCAACCTAACCAGCCATGTCGATGTCAAGAGAGAAAGCGAAGAAGATCTCAAGAAAGCAGTAGCTGAAGTTGGCCCAATCTCAGTCGCCATTGATGCCAGTCACAACTCCTTCCAATTGTACGCTAGTGGTGTTTATGATGAACCTGCTTGCAGTAAAATCAGATTAGATCATGGTGTTTTAGCTGTTGGTTATGGTGTACATGAATCTAAAGATTACTGGTTGGTCAAAAACAGGTTCGTATTAGCAGCATTTTGATTTGTACTCAATACCCAAATGACCATCATTAGCCACTTTTCTTGTATATTTTTCTGGTCTTATCGTATTGACATTTCGCATTTTGTTCTTGATACTCATCCGGATGATTTCCCTCATGGCACCCTGCATGGCGTTGCCCGTCTTCATTAGCCCACAAGGTGCAGAAGAGTAGGACGTAAAACTCCATTCATTTCATTTCATTTCATCCGGATGATTTGCCAAAGATTTCGTGGCTAGGTTAGCACGAATACTTGTGATCAAATTGATAGTAATTGGCCAGGACTTTTGACGGAAAATGTCTGTGTTCTACTCGGCATCAATACATAAAGCTCACAGACGACTGTTCTTTGGTACTTTCAAACACCAGTTCTCTTTTGTTTAAACGTAAGTTGAATACTGGAACTTTATGGTGAAGCATTCCGAGATTTTCACTGTGCAATGTTCTTGGGTAACTTCAAAAGTATAAGAGGGAGTCCTTTTATGATTCTATTCAGTGGGCACCCACAATATCATAGGTCATTGATATTATCGATTTCCAACCAATCAATATCTGCTTTTGATTTTTGCAGTTGGGGAACCACCTGGGGTATGCAAGGATACATCATGATGTCCAGAAACAAGAAGAACCAATGTGGTATCGCTACACAAGCTAGTTACCCAGTAGTTTAGAATGGAATGAACTGTCATACACTGTAAAACCTTTTCTGTGAAATATACAAAATATTGGTGGCAACCATGCTGCCAAATTTAAACCAGAAAAGCTTACAGTGTAGAGTACGATTAATATGATACGTTGGTGAAAACGGTTATCATTTTGTGATGAATAATTCAAAATTGTGATATTTTAAATAAATAATATAAAATAACAATTTGTGTTTATTTGCGGCGGCAAAAATAGTATAGTCGACCACAGATACTAATGCATATCCGACTTCGACTCAAATCCAAAATGTGTGAATGTCTGTGCTGGACTAGAATTGCGTCGGTCTGTGCTGATACAGATACTGTGGAATGAATCACCGTAGCTTTCATTTTCCCACCTTCAAACTATACTTGGCAAAATAAAGAATATGATTTATAGCAATTTAAGAGATTAAGTAAACTACCATAAATTATCGTACGATAGCTTCATTTTGAGATGCCCTTTGAAGCTATCTACCGTAAACAAATTTAGGACTTCATGAACACATATAGAGTGCAAATAGGTCACCAATTCAGAATTAAAGGGGAATGACTTGACACTTTTTAACTTTTGGAAATGTGAACGGACACATCAATTGTAGATATTTTGCATAAAGCCATGCCAAGAATTCCATGTAATGCTCTTTTAATGAACGCTGTTTACATAAAGTCCAACCTTAAATGCCCGAAAAATTAGGTAAGTCAAAGGTCGCTTAGTACACTTAGATTTGATTTCAAAATATATATATATATAATTTGGTTATCACTAAAAGTATTTAAGTTATCATTTATTGACCTACTTAATTTCACAATAAACCTACATATTATACCAAGGTAAGGCAAATATATAGATTTCTTTACTCAGTAGTGTATACAGTGCACGCTATCGCAACTAGGCAATCTTTCATTACCAGTGAAAAGAAATACGACTTTTTTTCAACCTACCGTTATGATTCAGACTAACTCAAAGAGAATGTAACTCTCTATCTATTTAGTCGCTTCATCTGTTTTGAGAAATCAAGTTATTAACCTACCAGTAATTATGTACAGAAAGAAACTTCCTGTTAGATGTAGATATGCAAAGGTAATTTGATCTATATCTAACGATGTACTAAGAGGAGGCCAAATTTGACAGAGATTTCCTTCCTTAATGCAGTAGCGGAGCCAAAGGGGGTGGGGAGGTGGGCCCCTCCTTGCTGCCCCGAAAGCAAGTTTTTCGAACAAAAATCTCACAAAAAAATTAGAAATTCGGGCAATCTCAGATATTTTGCCCCCTCTCGGACGTAAACCTGACTCCGACTCTGCGTTAATGACATATCTTTAGATGCTGGTTTTAAAATTATTGGTGGTTATAATAATTGTTGCTGTAACGTCAACCAGTAAAATAGGGCGACCAGATGATCTTCCTACTGAAGTTGATTGGAGAAAACGAGGTCTGGTTACCCCTTCTATATATCAGGTACTGTATATCAATAAATCGTAGTATTCATGGGATTTCAGATGTGCAAGAATTTCAGATGGGCAAGAGTTTCAGATAGGCAATAGTTTCAACTTGACAAGAGTTATCTCCTTCAGATCAATTACTCTATCCATATATCTGAAATACAAATTGTAGACTACAAATATGCATGAATCACCACCAGCTTTCTTAAGATCATCTCAAATTTCGTTGCACCTTCTGCAGAACCAGAGCCAGAATTGACTTGGGTATCAAGACTGTAACAAGGTCATGCAGTGTCATGTAAACTGCCATAATGCATAGTGCACCAAGATTTCATATAAAATGGCTGATGTGTGTTGTTCTTTATAGGGCGAATGCGGTGATGGCTGGGCGTTCGCGGCAGCAGATGCTGTTTATGGTCAGTTAGTAAAAAAGGAGGGAAAACATACCATTCCATCTGTACAAAATCTTGTCGATTGTTCTCGACCACAAGGTACACGAATTAAACCTTCCACGTAATATAACTTAGATAAGTCAACGCGAAGCCCTTTTGGATTGGATTGTGAATCATCGACATACATATTAATACCATATATCGAGTAGTACATACACTGTCATACACTATTAAACTTTGTGTGTGAAATATACGCAATATTGGTGGCAACTTAGCTGCCAGACGATTTTAAAAGAGCGAACGCTATAGTGAAGACTCTACAAACCAAGACCCAAAATATGGAACCCTGACTGAGCTCCAACAGATCAATTTCAACCAGTACTGCACTAGGTTCTTTGTATTTTTTCAGGTAATTATGGTTGTGAAGGAGGATATAGCGTTAATGCCTTTAAATATATCATAGAAAATGGTGGCATGAATATACAGAAAGAATATCCCTATGCTGCACACGTAAGAAACTTTGTTTTTTCTTAAATTTGATTTTACTGCTTGAATATGCATCACAACGTATGCTTTAATGACTTACTTGATTTCACGAGCAGTGACTCGTCAAAAACAAAACGCCAATGATCATGACAGTGAACATACATCGTAGTGGCTGGTCGCGTAATTAAGAAATTTGTCGTTTTCATTGGAGTCGCATTGAAGGGGTTAACTTCATACAGGTGGTCGAGTAAACATCATTCACGGTACACAGTACGCACCAATGTCAAAAAGTATGAAATATAACCATAGTGCTATTTGATAACGGATTAAGGTAATACATTTACATTTGTATCCCCCACCTCACCCCCCCATTCCGTGAAACAAAATTGAAACCAACCCAAACTTGTTGAAAACAGATCTGCGATAACCATTCATTTTTTATTTTTAGAATCAACAATGTCGATACAACCAGTCAGCTACAAACATCAAAATAAAAACATATTTAGCCTTACCATCTGGTAGTGAATTAGATCTTCAGAGAGCGGTTGCTAATGTTGGTCCGGTAGCAGTTGATATACAGGCTGACCTTCCGTCATTTCGTACCTATAATAAAGGAGTATACGACGACTCTAATTGTACTGGATCACAACTAGATCATGGTGTGTTGGTAGTCGGTTATGGTGTTTACAATGGAACTGACGTCTGGATTGTCAAAAACAGGTGAAGATCTTCAATTTTAACAGGTTGGGCATTTGGTTGCTATACAGAAAGTTAGTGCATCAATAGGGAAGCATCAACTTGGCGAAGCTTTCTAAACGCAACTAGGTGAATAGCAATTGGTAGAAAAACAGATAGGCTTACAGCAACCTTGCTCTAATCATCGCAATGTCAAGGTATTACGAACTGTGTCTAATGCCCTGACTTCAATAGCCAACTTTTTTGTATCAATGAAGTTTGTGAAATACGACCGATTACACAAGCAGTCCGAGGGCCATGATTAGCTGTGTTGGCTAGCGTACAATCCAGTCAAATTGCTGCATTTACAAACTTCTGTGATACTATAGAAAGGTGCATAATGGTGTCAAGTTATTAGAAGATTTCGTAATAGCTTGACATTGTGAAGTTTCCAATCACTTTGCTTCTAGTTTTGCTCATCAGAGTGTTTTTGGTGTTTATTTCAGCTATGGTGTGATATGGGGAATGAATGGGTATATTCTGATAGCTAGAAATAAAAACAATTTATGTGGAATAGCATCTAGAGCCAGCTTTCCTATATTACATTAATTATTATTACAGTTAATGAATAATGAACAGTTAATTGCCTATTTATTCTCATCAACATTGGTGTTTCTATCAGTGGTTCAAGATGAATGGGGGCCCATGAACTATAGTGGGTTAGGGCCCCTCGCCTGGGAAATTCATTTAAATAAGGCCATAATATTGCCCTTCTGTAGGTGTGAACTATTTTATATTATCTGTTAGCTATTTATATATTTTTCTAATAGTGAGAACCCCTTTAAGGTGTTGCGGTCCGTTGACTTAGTTCAAGCAGACCATATGGTAGTTGAGCCACTGGTTTGTACCCCCAGAAAAGATGTTAACCCGAGTTTTACCAATTCCACTTTCAAACTTAGTGAAAGTGAAAGAATTTCATGTAGCCCCTAAAAAAAGCCCCCTGCTTTGTTCCTCAGCTAACGCCACTCATCTTTGCATGAACCTTGCAAATCAAAATATGTACCACAGTTGAATGGTCCCATGAGCTTAAACAAATGCACCTTCGGAGGTGTGGAGAATCCTCATTAAATATTAGTTTGTTTGACTCTACTCCAGCCGATAACTGTCAAGATATCTATCAGAGGCTGGAAAGTGCAGAATAGCAGGAAGTAAAACATTTCATTTCATTTTCCTGTGAAATAATACAGTATAAGTCTAGATAGAGTGAAGTTATATTAATAATAAAGGAAGGGGTATATTGGTATGAGTTGTATGTCTTGTCGACAAGTTATAACTGTCATCATCAATTACTTGTTATTAATATTCTCTATTACATCAATAATCTCCAGTCGACATCCATTGATTTTTATAGCCCGATAACATGCTAGCTCACCGACATTGTACAAATGTCTTATTATTTTCAATTTGTTGAAGACATAAAAAAGGGTGGGAAATGTCGGTCCGTAGGAAGAAAAACAAAGCACTGTGTGCAACATCGACAATAGCCTGTCTTCTCATGACAATAAATTGCATGGAACGTCATAGCTGTCATACTCAAGTATCCCACGTCCCATTCCTTTCAATTCGGTAAATACAAGGACGTGAAAAGAGTCTAACCGTCCCGATATCTGCATGTTCTATATTTCTTGCGTTTAATAAAGTACGGCGTTTCGAGGCTACCATTTCTTGTTTTCTACCAAACGAGTCATGTCATATCAAAAGTAACTGAAGGGACACCGTGTCCTGACCACGAATGAAAAACCCGTATTTGGGAAACGATGCTGAAGGGAAGACAAAACATGTTTGTTTTATATATCTAAAATATATACAAAGATTCGAAATTGTGAGCCTGTATTTTAATCAGGGAGAGTTTGTATGTCGGACTTGAACACAATATGATCTTGTAATACACTCAGATCTAACCCTCGTTATACCACCCCGCTTGTCTAATATACCAATTTAATATTAGATTATCGGCTTACAGTGGTTGACAACTCATGGAATGTCTTCGGTAAATTATGACATTTATCATAATATTTCTCTTACGGATAAAAAAAATCTTTTTTAATAGAATGAAGGTTTTTTTCAGTGGGCGACACTTCTACAAGTTAAACTGAGTGTTTGACTTACACCCTATCTTGCCTCTGAACGTTATTTTTGCTCAAACCATTCCATATCGATCGTTTGGATGAAGATTTGTAAATTTTCTATCAATTTGGTTTATCTATCTTGTACAAAAATCTCCTAAAAAGTGGTCAACGTTTTGTAGTGCCCGATATTCAGTTTGGTTTTTGTCTTGTTTTGCTCTATCTGTAAATATTTCAACAAATTCTTTGACAGATTATATTTCTCTTTGTAACGCTGTTTTCTTTTACAAATTATATCTTGAACATCATTATTACCTGGGGCTTCACCTAATAAATTTTGGTTTCCCAAAAAGATTTTGACACATCGGAGTTCTTCTTACACTGCACCCCGTTTGTAAAGTTGAGAGATTTGTCGGAGTTCTCCTGTTGATCAATGGGACACAATATTTCTTCTCTTTTCTTATTGATTTTGTGGTATCTCGTCATTTTTCAGTCGTCATGTTATCAATGAGTAGAAAGGTTGATGGAATATAACAAGCTGTGATTGGCGTCACCTACTGTAATACCACCAGGCATGAGATTAGAGAAATAAATTATACATTAAAATGATATTTCTCTTTATAAAGTTTTTTGTTCAGAGATATTTAATTTAGGTAAGTTTTATTTTTCTTATCCAAAACGCACAACTATTTATTCAAATTTTTGGGATTTTTTTTTACCTTAAAAGTAGTTTTAAAGGAATTATGTGATTTTCGTACATTTCTAGTGCTTTTGAAGACTATTTACATAAATTCAAGATTAAAATCAACCCCCAAACATTCAACCGCGGATAACACACATGGATTTCAAAGCTCAAATTTTGGCGATGAGCTTTGAACACTATAACTGATTGGTCTAGCTAAAAAAAACTAAAGTATGATTGGTAAAAAAAAAATGACCTACCTGTCCCTTTAAAATTCAAATTAAAGAGTTGCTCGAATTATTCAATCAATGTTTTTTTTTTATTTAATCACAAATTGAAATCTTGAAAAGAATAGTTGAGCTTTTAGTTAACCAGGTTAAGTGATATTCTGTGTTTACTTTTCATATTTCGATAATCTCTACATAACATGCATCTTCATCAACATCTTCTACCATCTTTAAAATCTTCTACGTCTCCATCTTATACCTTGACTGCAATGGCAACCTTTCTCAATTATTTTTACTTTTATTTCTGTCGAGGGCTCAGATCGGCTGTATTCGCTAGCTTACAATCCAAGATCAAAAGGGACCGCATTTGGCCGGTATTTTGGCTAGTTGGTGGGTCTATTGTACACTAGGTGGCTATTACAGTCAAGGTATTAGACGCAGTACGAATAGCATGACATTGTGCAGATGTTCGTTATAGCTTGACAATAGCCGCGTTTACAGTCATAAAAATTGGCCCGCTTGAAGCGAACCGTACTCGGTCCGGATTCGACCATTTACACTGCACTGTTTTCACTGGGCCAGGATGGCGAGTCATCAAGTAGGCACCTGCTGTCCAGTCGAAAGTGAAGTGTGACTGTCTTAACCCGGCTAATGTGAACGCGTGAAGATGTTTGAATAGCTTGACATTGAGATGAATTATACCAAAAAGTTGTCTTACTTGTTTGATCGTAAGTATAAAATTTGCAAAAAGCAACCATTAAAATCGGATCTGAACAGTGAAAACCTCCACTTAAAGCGATGTGAAATCAGAGAGAAGAGAATTGATGTCGGCAATGTCAAATTAGAGATATAAAGTGGAATAATAACATTGATTACTGAAGTTAAATAAAGTCTTTAGGGAATCGAGTTGAAAACATTGATTCTACATTCTCTACCATATAATAATATTATTTTTACTTTCATCTGTTAGCAATATGCTTTCCTGCTTTGGTCTTAAGATTTTAAAATATGTCTATGTTTCAAGAAATCGGTTTAAGTGTAGTTAGGTCACACGGCGACAGAGAAAAGAACCCACGACCATCATTTGTTCGACTTACGGTAAATAACGTCATGTAAATGTTCCAACCCTCTAACGGACTGCGCTACAGTCTGTTCATATTAATTCGAGAAGTCATCGGTGTATATAGACACAGCTTTATGTAACAACAATCACTGGTTAAAGTTTATGAAGTAATAGGAGTGTCGACACAAACGACAACCGAACCTGATTTAAGACAGACAGACCATGCTTACTCTTGTCGAAACATATGGTGGTACTTCTCTTTCGAGAGTCCACCTCTATACAACCTTTACTCCCGATTTCGCCATACTTTAGATGAGATTTTGATTAAGAGAATTGTCTTGCTTGTACGGATTTTTATAACGGACAAATAACAGCATTCTTCAGCATTATGATTTCGTCTCCGCACAATAGGGCTGGAAATTGAAAAAGACAAAAATTGTCGCTACACACGACATCGTGATATAAAAAACATCACAAATCGGAAGCGGCAGATCAGGCTGTTTCTATTCTCTTTGTTTTGGTATAAAATATTCATAGCCCTGTCGTTTCGTCGGCTTATCTTAAACTCGCCAACCACATAAACATTTGATTAAATCGTGTATTCTTTTACTCCATTCACGGAATTTCATTCGCAGTTGCTAATGAATATAAAATGGCATACAGATGATGGTGTGTTGTAACCTGGGTCCAGCCATGCAATCTGTTAAGTGCAGATCAGGCTTGGTTTTTCGGAGGGGCAAGTCATATATCCAGAGGGGCAAGTAATATATCTGAATGGGCAAGTAATGTATCTGGAGGATCAGGTAATATATCTGGAAGGGCAAGTAAAATATCTGGAGGGGCATGTAATATATATGGAGGGGCAAGTAAAATATCTGGAGGGGCAAGTAAAATATCTGGAGGGGCAAGTAAAATATGTGGAGGGGCAAGTAAAATATCTGGAGGGGCATGTAATATATATGGAGGGGCAAGTAAAATATCTGGAGGGGCAAGTAAAATATCTGGAGGGGCAAGTAAAATATCTGGAGGGGCAAGTAAAATATCTGGAGGGGCATGTAATATATATGGAGGGGCAAGTAAAATATCTGGAGGGGCATGTAATATATATGGAGGGGCAAGTAAAATATCTGGAGGGGCAAGTAAAATATATGGAGGGGCAAGTAATATATATGGAGGGGCAAGTAATATATATGGAGGGGCAAGTAAAATATCTGGAGGGGCAAGTAATATATCTGGAGGGGCAAGTAATATATCTTGAGGGGCAAGTAAAATAGGGGGGGGGGGGGGGAGTAATATATCAGCAATTGTGTATGGTGTTAAGCTGCAGTAATAGAATTGGTAGGTTGTCGGAATGTTTGAATAGTGCAACTCGATGCTTTCAGTGTATCAAATACACATAAAAATTTAGAAAACCTCTTTACAATCACTTAATCAAATCCTATTAAAATCTGGTATAATAAGTTATTAAGAAAGAACGCATCAACAAATGCTTAACCGCATATTAAATGTTA